ACTCCTATCTCCAATAAACCACCAGAAAACCGGAAGTGGCGCTGTAGCTCAAGTGGTAGAGCGCTCGCCTTGAGCTGAAGAGCTGAGGGATAGCGCCCAAGCCCAGAGTTCAAGCCCCACGACCGACAAAAAAAAAAAAGAAAGCCAGAAGTGGTACTATGGCTCAAGTGGTAGAGTGCTAACCTTGAGCAAAGGAAGCTCAGGGAAGGTGGGCACTTTTTGTGGTTCACGCCTGTAATCCTAGCTACTCAGGAGGCTGAGATCTGAGGATCACAGTTCAAAGCCAGCTTAGGCAGGAAAGTCCATGAAACTCTGATCTCCAATTATCTACCAGAAAACCAGAAGTGGCACTGTGGCTCAAGTGGAAGAGTGCTCGCGTTGAGCTGAAGAGCTGAGGGACAGTGCCCAGGCCCAGAATTCAAACTCCATAACCAAAAAGAAGAAGGAGGAGGAGGAGGGAGGAGGAAGGAAGAAGGAAGCAGCAGCAGCAGAAGCAGCAGCAGCAGCTCAGGGATAGTGCCCAGGCCCAAAGTTCAAGCCCCATGACCAAAAAAAAGAAGCAGCAGCTCAGGGATAGTGCCTACGCCCTGAGTTCAAGCCCCAGGACTAGCACAAGAAAGAAAGAAACAAGGAAGGAAGGAAGAGAGGGAGGGAGGGAGGGAGGGAAGAGAAAACTTCAATAATAAGCTGGGTAGTGGTGGCTCACCCCTGTAATCCTAGCTACTCAGGAGGCTGAGATCTGAGGATTACGGTTCGAAGCCAGCATGGGAAGAGATTTTTTTTTGGGGGGTCAATCATGGGGCTTGAACTCTGGGCCTGGGCACTGTCCCTCAGCTCTTCAGCTCGAGGCTAGTGCTCTACCACTTGAGCTACAGCGCCACTTCCGGGATTTTCTGCTTATGTGGTGCTGAGGAATCAAACGCAGGGCCTCATGCATGCAAGGCAAGTACTCTACCACTGAGCCACTTTTCCAGCCCCTGGGAAGAGATTCTTATCTGCAATAAACTACAAAAAAGCCAGAAGTGGAGCTGTGGCTCAAGTGATAGAGTGCTAGCCAGCCTTGAGCAAAAAAGCTCAGGGGTAGTGTCCGGGGAAAGCATGCACGTGCGCATGCGTACATGCATGCGCATGCAAGCAGATACACAGACAGAGGCACACAGACACACAGACACACACACACACAAGCAATAAAGTTCCAAAAGATTACTTCTGGCTAAGTGAGATCAAAGAGAGCCTCATGGAAAAGGAGACATGAAACCTGAGGCATAGAAGGATGAGCTGAAGTTGGACAGGTAGATAAAGAGACTTGCCAAGCAGATAGAACACTAAACGCAAAGGCAGACTCACAGAAGAAGCGTTAAACAAACAACAAATATGTAGATTTGTGAAAGGGCAGTGTAAAAGAAGCAGGAAAATGAAGCCAGAAAAATGAAAATGAAGGGCTTTGAAATGGCATACTAAGAAAAAGTCTGAACGTTCCTGAACTAAGTAGACAATGGTAAGCCACCATGAAGAAGAGATGTAATAAGGTGAGTACCCTGGCATTCATGGCAGATGAATCTTAGAGAAGATAACTCTTTCTTCCCATCCTCAACAATACTGTCACCAGAATTGGAAAATGACAACTTTGGTGAATACTTACTTTGTTAGAACTATGACAATAAGATGGCACCAGTGGCTCATGCCTATAATTCTCACTACTCAGGAGACTGAGATCTGACAACTGCAGTTTGAAGCCAGGCAGTGCAGACTCTTATCTCCAAGAAACTACCAAAAAGCCAAAAATGGAATTATGGCTCAAGTAGTAGAGTGCTAGCCTTGAGCACAAAAGCTCAGGGACAGTGTCCGGGCCCTGAGTTCAAACCCTAGGACCAGCACCAAAAAAAGAATTGTCTGATCTAAAATTCAACCAAAGACTGCAATGCCTTTTGGGAAATATGTAACCAACAAAGTTTGTTCTAACCTGCACCTAACTAACCAACTAACAGTTTAGAAAAAAGGAAGTTTTTATTAGCATGTATTATTTGTATAAAGGGGTTTTACTGTAATATTTCCATAAATGTATACAATGTACCCTGATCAGATTTACCCCCCTGCAGAACTTTTTCAAATAAAAGGCTGGACACCAAATTTCATCGTATGGAGCTGATTATACAAACAAACCAAGAATAAATTTTCCTATCATCAGCAAATGTACTAAGAATTCTCATGAGTTCTATTTGGAAAATAAGATTCTGATACACAAGGCTATGTAATTAACAGCACCATATTTGACTAACCAAAACCTTGAAGGCTCGATTTTTGTCCTAAGTTTGTGAGTCATTCTTCATGTAGCTAAGAACAGAAATATAGTACTGTCATAAAGAACTTTTGTGTTCATCTTCAAGAGAACAACAGAGGTGAAAGTTGGACCCACATCTTAGGTAGTCAACTGCCTTGAATGTTCAGAAAGAAGCTGAGTGCCAAATCCTAGGTCACCTGACCTGGAATCTTATCACATTCAGTATACACCTTCTGTTTAGTACTCAATAACTAAAATTAAGTCTCCTTCCTGTCTTCACTATGGCTTACCAGGACAGAGTAAACCTGCCCGGTGAGATTCAAAGACAATAGTCTAGAAAAATACAGCTAAGAGGTTCCAGTACACTTTGAACCATCCAGGGAAAGAGAAGGTATGTTAGAAGGCAAAAGAAATGTCAGATGCTGGTGGCTCACACCTGTAATCCTACTACTCAGAAGGCTGATCTGAGGAAGGAGCTTGGAAGCCAGCCAGAAAAGTCCATGGAACTCTTTATCTCCAAAAAAGCCAAAAGTGGAGGTACTGCTCAAGTAGCAGACACAAGCCTTGAGTGAAAAACCCAAGTAAGAGCTCAAGATCCTGAGTTCAATTCCCAGTACCAGCATGCACACACACACACACACACACACCACACAAATAAAACAAATTCAAAATAGCTAACCCAAAGGTAGAATAATCTTAGCATTTTAGGCAAAACAAAACCAATATATGTCACATCCTATAGAATACTGGTCAAACAAAAGAATACAACAGCTTTACTTCAGCTCACACGCTGAATGCATTTCTCATAATAAATGCTGATGTTAAATGTTGAAAAATAAAATCATATTTTATCACTAATTTGACATGACTTTGGGGCTTTTTG